TTCAATTTCGATTGCGCAATATTAAACTGTATACAATTATTATATGGATTATGTAAAAACTTGCAACATTTATATTAATCGATATAAGAAGACGTAGCTGCCTTTTACCGTGTATGATATAATTTGAAATTTGAAATATAAAGATGGCAAATTACATTGGCGAATGTTTTTAGTGAGCCGCGTGAAAGCGGTGAAATTGCGTGCATTCTGGTAATCAGAGCAGACACAGGTGCTGTCCATCGATGGGGAAGTGTCTATTACATTTGCCATTCATTCGAGTTTTTATGGGAAAGTAAATGCCCAGAACTATAATGAGGTACTTGGTATATTAATTGGTTCTAACAGTTTATTTCAGTCCATTGTGGATAACAATACAATACAACTTTAATGACAATATTGTGATTGTTTAACTTTCCCTATAAAACATGAAACAAATAGTAGGTTATAAGATCTATTTAATAGATTTTTTAAAATAAAATATAGCTTTTGTCTGTTCTCATGATAAAACTTCACATCTAAATTCAACAAAATATGTTAATGTACCTACTTATGACAAAAATTAACAAACAGACATAAACACCTTCAAATTTTTAGCAATACATAAAAAATGTTGCCATATTTATTTTTTAATTCTAATTATCACATTATTTTTCGAGTACACTTGATAAATTTAAATAAATCCCTCCTCACTCGTGTCAGAGAAATATGATTGTTTCAGAATATTTAAATGATAATGGAGTTCTATTATTGCGCAGGAAAAAAATACAAAAGAACACTTGAATATGAAGAATATGCTTAACAAAAGGCGGTCTTATTGCTAAAAGTAATCAAGAAGTTTTATTATATCTATACTTAAAAGCGTGTAAATAAAACTGTCTAATTTTTTCATGCTTAATTTTGTAATTTATAAAACATACATAGATATTATATAATAACTTACGTTTTCCTTACTTTTCATCGATAATATATTTTCACTATATTAATGGAGCTACCTTATCTATAAATATTGTGACCCAATTTTGGAATTAATATCCTAGCTCACATTGCATTCGCGTTCTTCAGAACGCCGCTTTACTTTTGATTGTCGCGGGTTTAATTTCTTGCAAAATGCAAAAATTTGTTTTTATGAGTATACATATACATATGCATGTATGTATTTACCAAAAAAATTAATTGTTTATATCGGTTTTACGTACCTTCACCACAAACTCTGCTTAATAATGGCATTGTATGAATTCTCCTAGGTGATTATTATTATTCAGACCTTCAGATTTTAGGGTGCTTTTTAAGGTAAATAGAAAATTAAACAAGCTGTAATTCCATCTGTTGGGAAATGACTACCATGTGTGATGGTCTTTGTACCCCTCATGTAGCCCTTGACTAAAAGTCAATCAATTTTATAGATTCGGTGTCATACCTTTGTACGCAGTTATATCGCTGCCATAACATTCAAAGTACATTTCAAACAATCTAAATATTTAGCAAGCATGGCAATTAAATTACATTGTTTTTGTAGCTACCTAGATGTAATTAGTAATATCTCGATAATGAAGACAGTTGAGATATTTACCTGATATGGATCTTTTATACTTATGAGTACCATAAAATGTTACGACAGGCTCTGTTAAACAATCAGATGCTATTTGTACTGTCATTAGGTTTATAGTTATCATTAGGTATACAATTATCCTACTTATTCATAATTTTTTTTTTCAAGGCAATTCACACAGCGCCATCTAAGCCCAAGTTAAGCTAGCTAAAGCATGTGTTATGGGTACTAGACAACTGATACAAATACATAGATATATTTTTTTTCGTAAATATATACATATTATACAAAGAGAACACCCAGACCGACACAAACAATAATACTCATGAATACAAATGTTTGTGCTGTGCGAGGAATCGAACCCGCCACCATCGGACGTAAAGCGGTCTGCTAAACTAGTGGTTTAGCAGACCGCTTTACGTCCACCACCGAGGTCGTCAGTCATAATTACTAGTTGCATATTATAATTATAATAAAACCTACACATATATATTACAGCAGACGTATCTACATATTTAACTTTTATATAGCTTATTCACTGCCTGCCCCGTAAGAGATTTAGCGTGAGGATAGCTGAACTGATTTTTTATATATTATTTCTTTTCACCAAAATTGTTAAATTCTTGGTAAAGGTTGGAATCGAATTTTTGAAAGTGCACATGATTTTAAATATATTTATACAGTGATATAGATGAATTTCTATTTCCCTATATCGCGCTATAACATGAGAATGAGTAAACTGGTTTTTTAATAAAATCAGTTTACTATTTCTTACAGAATCTGGCGATACTACCCCGGGCTTCGCAACGGTGCATTATAAATTTTTAAACCTTTACGCTTTTCTGTACTAAAATATGCATGCATCATATACATGAACTTCGCTATCAATTATTAAAAACTGCATTAAAATACATTGCGTAATTTAAAAGATATAAGCATACAGATAGAGACGAGGCCTTTGTTTTAGACTATATAAAGTACATTTAATAATTACAATATTTTCATCCTCCTTACAAAAGTAGTTTTAATTCTTTGCTACTGTTGGAGCTAACATTAAGTTTTTATATTAGAATAGAAATGATTCCGTTCCAGTTTCTTCTTTTTTGTACCTTTACTTTATTTGGACTAGATTAAGGTTCCACAAAAACTCTACAGCGAGTTCTTGTGTACCTATCCGTAATCTGGTGCCAACGAGAGCACCGAAGGGCCATTGAGGTACTTACATAACGGAATAAAATACATTTAACCCGTCCCCAATTAAAAATATCCAATCATTGGAATTGTGTATAATGTAATGGATCTATTTCTTACATTAAGTTCTCAATACCATTAGATATGATATGCATGCTTATAGGGACTGGTCTGCTTTGATAACTATGACTGATTTATTATGTTTCTCAAGTAGCTATTATATTTATTTAGTCTTGATATTTGGAAGTTTTTATTCAAGTTCTATATATCTTCAACAAAAAAATCTTAAATATGTTAGCTGAATAACTGTATTTATTTATTGTTGTATTTATGCATTTATTTAAGCAACATGTGAGTTTCGTGATCGTTTTTCTTGTGATGAATCTGCTTTCCGAATGAAAGGTGGAATAAAAAAAATACGACTATTCAAAAATGTTTTATGATGACTGCCAAGACTTAGTTTTCAGTAAAATATATTAGGTATAAAGACAGATCTATTATATATACTTTCATACTAAATCATATTAATAATAACTCAGGCCATTTCACACAGAACCATGTAGTAAGTTAAGCAGAACTTGTGGTTATGGTATTAAACATGTATACAAAATAAATATTTAACCTAATATTATAAATGCGAATGTGTCTATCTGTTTCTTACCTTTACACAACTAAACATCGTATCGGAACTAAACAACTAAACGGCGTATTGGATTTTATTGGTCCTAATATCAATCGAATTTATGATTACTATGATATTATATATATGTATATTATGATATTTATACGACAGACTAAATAACGGGTAAAACCTAGTATATATTTTTCAATTCTAATAAAATCATTAAATTTCAAGGCCTTTCGCAGAAAATATTCCTTTTAGCAAGTATCATTTCACTAACCTTGCGGCTTTCCATACAAGCAACTTTCATTGGTTGACCTCGGTTGTAAGTTCAAGCATAGGTATTTCTGGTTACGATAATAAAAAAATGTTTAGGAATACTACATACACTTTTTTATTATCATATTGTCTATATGATGGTAAAATAACAAAAATATTGAATATTTACAATTAGCAATTAGCAAACAATGGAATGGCCAAACTGATGGTATGTGGTAAGCATCGCCTTTTTACATGAACAGCAAAAAGGAATATCACATTAGCATTTGATTCCCGTGATATCATCCATACGTTGCCATTCCAGAGGATATGTAAGGTGTTCGGTTGTGGGAATCTTGTAATTTCACTGCCTAATCTTATCCCACAACCGAACACCTTACATATCAAGCTGCATGGCAACTAAACTCTATACATATCGTATAAATTATGTATGTAATCATATCCACTCGTATAAATTAATAATGAAGGGCTATAATTAGAACTAAATTCTTGTAGTAAATATTCTTATATTTATGTTATATCATATGATATGATATATTGTGGTAACATTGATTTATACAATTACCGTTGCATTCATAATTAATAATAATAATTATAGCTGTTATGTTTACAGTCACAGTCTATATTATCATTCGTCAAATATATATAACAGTCTATAAAAACTGCATTAATGGGAATAATAAAGAATTTTGTTTTACAAGACTTCGATAGTCGTCGGAGATTCGATGTCTTGTAAATATAAATCGTTATTATATTGTTATTATAAATCTAATACGGCAGTTCTATTTTTAACAATTCGAATCCGTAAAACTTGATGAAAAGATAAAAACCTTTTTTTTCATTTGGTTACTAAGGCTCTAAGATATTTAGTATTATTAGTGCCATTTAGTGTATTCCTTTATATTATACAAAATTTCTTAGACTCATACTTTTTAGTAATATAGCATAATTATATTATTGTATTGAGAGAAAAGATATTCACAAGATTTGTCTTTCTAACAACTAATTATGTCTGTGAATCTGTGTATATATTATGTGTATAATATTTTTCAATTCTTCATCATCCAACCTTTGGAAATCTGTGTTAGGTTTTCATATATAGTTATACTACCAAAACAATGTGTCCTATATTGCACCACCATGATATTAACAACATCCTCGTTTCATATAACGGTGATAGTCTTAAACAGAATTACTAGTATTGAAATGGACTTCCGCAAAACAACGCCTAATTCGAAATATTTAAACTGAATTTGCCTATGTGAGGTGACTATGATTTATCAATATTGTTTGTCAGTTATTCAATTAATCCCATGCTACGTACTTATTAGTTTCAATAATAATATTGTCCTTTTTCAGGTCGAGGAAAACAGAAGAAACTCATGGAGCGTATCCTGCCCTTATTCATCATGCCATTCATCATCCAATCAACAATAGTCCCGTTATTTTTAAGTATGCTAAAATTTATGCTATTTAAAGCTATGATGGTTGGAAAAGTAGCTCTGGGTTTGATTATACTGAATGCTTTCAAAAATCACAATACAGTGAAGGGACGGGACGCCGAAATGGCTGAAGTTCATTATGGGTATCATGGAAGTAATATTGAATATGGAGCCTATATAAACTGATATTCCTGTTTAGAAATTGTGAATAGACATTCACAAATATATTATACGTCTGGTTTCGAAGAAAGAATTGCCGAGATAGGCAATTACGTAATACTGTTACTAAATATATAGCATAAATGCTCCTCTAAGTCATTATTTTAATGTAATTTATAAATAATTAATTGTTATTACAATTAAGCATATTTAATTGAGAATTGATGTTCAAAGTTGTAATTGTCTATTACAAAGTTTACTTCACAATGATCACGGTGAGTTGTTGAATATGTACAGATAAAAAAAAAATTAATTTATATATTTAGATAGGATCTATTCGAATGTATAAAACTATAGTAATATATCTCTGTGTTGTGTATATCTATAGATTACCTCTCATAGATTTTGTAAGAATTATTCAAATATTTTCTACTCATTTCAACGATCACAACAAAAGCAAACAGCATTTAATTTACGTTACTTTATGCATAAAACATGGAACCATTAAACTGTGTAGCATATTTATTTCTTTTCAACGTTTATAATCTATGTTCATTTAACTACATATGAATGTATCTGTATTCATAAAATTTATATAAAGGTTATTTCAAAACATTAAAATTCTAAGAAAAAGTTACATTCTATAAATGGGTATTCGTGTTGTGGAAAAACCCTCATATTTATATAAAAAACTTACTTACAAACAATTTATTTATTATAACAAAGTGACAAAACTTTCCGACAAACTAAATCAAATCTAAATCTCTAAACAGAGAATTTGTTATAAACATAGAAATCGAAAGAATAACTGGAAAGAAAATAATACACTTCAATCTAAGAATAATATGCTTTAGTTATTGTTCTCGGAGTTCATTAGCTAATGTAGGTTTATTAGTCGTTTGGTATTTTTATGCATAACGGACCTATTGTCGTAAGTGAACTTTTATAGTAGGAAATTCCCACGGGATTAGAAGTAACAGTTTCCGTGCGAGCCAAGCTGAAAGAAAGAGCTAATAAACATAATCGCATGCATATTAAACTGCATAAATTGAACAAAAATACATAATCGGAAAATACAATACTATACATGCGATAGTCGCTTTTTTTAATTTTCTTTTCTTTTCACGACTAAATAGCTGAACATATTGTAATAAAACATGAAAATATATTATATGATGAGGATGGTCATATGATATATTTTATTTTTAAAAGTCGCATTGTTCATAATTAATATACATAGGTATATGATACCATAGATTCAAAACTTTAAAGATAATTTCCCAAAGTTGGTATATTCGAATTTATATAAATCATAGTTGAAAATTTGTGAAGATAAATAAAACGCCATGATGGAATTTTCACATCTCCAATAATATTTTTTATTCTTAAAACAAATGAATGCGAACCGCGTTTGAAATTTAAAATAATTACAAAAGAGTTTTTATGTCTCGTACAGAATTAATCTTATTAAAAATTCGAATCAAATTATTTTATTGTTTCATGTAGATATATAAATTTCCGACATGAAATGAAGACATAAATGTATCATGTATTAATGATATAAAACATGAACTAAAAACTGATTTACAGTTGCAAAATATAATACTAGTAAGCTAAAATCGTTATATCGGCTTGATAAAATAACTTCTGCATACAACAGTAATTTTCCATAACCTCCTAAACTTTATATTTGTAACCGTTGATAATTTCCTTAGTTTTAAGAGGTATTTGATCTTCGGTTTGAGATTTAGATACTATAACTAACATCTTGTAACTAGTTTGCTCTCGACTTTCACTTGACTATTATATATCTATTTAAAGTAACGTTTCATACTTTCATTGATTAATTTTCTACAATTATAATAGAAAACCCCGGCACGACATGTTGTTTTTATACGTCTCTGATTCACGCATAATACCTCTATCTTTGTAGATGACGTGTAAGATACCACCGCAATTATAGTTCTTTTGTAAAACATTTATTTTCATTGTTTTATATCTGTCCTATGTTTATGTATGCTAAATAATTATTATTATTATTATTCTCTTTTCAAATATCTAAATAATCTGTAATGATATGTAAATTATGTACAGAATATACATTTTTTTGTCACATAAAATGTTTCTATGTATTACTAACTTACTAGATAGCCTATGACACGAAATATACACCAAAAACTTAATAAAAATCGATTAAGCCATCTCGGAAAAGTTCATTACAAAAACCTGTGACATGAGATTTTCATTATATATATGACAAAATACAACAAAATTTACCTGTGTCTATTATAAACTTGAAAACCTTATAATATTGTGGTCAGACTGGTTTCTTTAGAAACGCGATTTAATAATGCGAAGATGTTTTAAACCAATGCATCTCATCTAATTCTTTATGCTCACTATACTGTGTCCACTCACAATTCTATCACTTCTGAAGTAATTACTACACTACTTAAGTTTATATAATTAACATACACTGAAAAAAAATATTTTCAGTGTACAATAGTGTACATATTTGCAATGTATAAATACTTTTCAATACTAGCTAAGAATAGATATTAGTCCTTTATCTATTATATTAATTTATTTATTAGTTGATAAACCAGAATTAAAAATTATAAATAAAGTACTTTGTTTTATTTATAAATTCATTGATAACTTCGTCTTCTAGCTAATAAGAAATAATATGTGTGCTACCAATCATAATTGGCTTCATTATTCCCATACAGGGTGAATGGGATAAATGAAGCCAATTCAGTCAGCCAACATATATGTGTTGTCCTCCATTTAATCACAGGGGCGGATTAACGGCAATGTAAATTCTCTAGGCCAATTCCTGTTTAAGGAAAATTGAAAAGAGATGATTCAATGCTATTTATATCTATATTTATTTGGAGATATCAGCTCTTTTCATGTACATCACACATACCTAAATGGATGTAATTTAAAGTCAATATCTAAATCCTAATCAATCCATACTATTATTATAGTTTTATTAATTGATACTAAATTATTCTATTCTGTTACGCATGCGTCGAAAAAAAGCAATAATTCCTACAATACTGATTGTGAATAACGATATAATTTTTGTAACAAAATTTTCAAACTAAGGATTTTTTTTGTATGGTCCTTTGTATGGTCCCTCTGCCTAAAGGTTAATTAGAGCCTGTTGATTTGTATAATCTTTCGCGTTGCATAGATACATATATTCTAAAACCGGTTAGGTGGCACTGAAAGTAATTTTAAATACAGACTTTATAATTAAAAGCACTTCTTCTATCGAATTACATAATATGAGAATAGAAAAGAACGGAACATCATCCCAAAAATACGAGTTACTTGAGTACGTGTCATAGATGTTCTTGAGATGAAACAGTTTGAGTTGCATATGTAAGCATCCGGAAAAGTACCTATGTTTTACCTAGTATTCCCACGCATGCTCCAGTGTTTATTAAGATTATATTCGGTACATTTAATCTAATTATTTTTTGTACAACATATATTTAATTACCTTTATGGCTTAATTGATGAAACACTTAATTAATTACAACGTTAGAAAAGACAGGCAGCATTCGTAATGGAATTGAATGAAATTAAATACTGCACAACGCTTGCTCGAACATATAATGTAACAGCGCCATAAATTTAAAAAATAAATGAAAATCATAAATAATTTATTCATGTAGGACATTTCAGTCGTTTATGAACTTTATGAAGTTAATAGTTAAGATAATAGTTATATAAGTTATATAACGAAATTTATGATGTTTGTATTATTATTTTTTCGCTACCGTACAATATTTATATATATCAACTATAAACTATATAATAATAATAATAAATAATAAAAAAAGTTAATAAATAATGACGACCTCGAAGGTCCAGTGATTAAGAACACCGCTTTACTTCCGATGATCGCGAATTCGATTCCTCGCACGGTGCAAACATTTGTATTCATGACTATACTTGGTCTGGGTGTTCTATATGTATTTCTATGCTATAGTTATTATTATTATTATTATGTATGAATTTACAAAATAACTATGTTTTTATATTGTTTAGTATCCATGACAAAAGCTCTGTTTACCCTGTTTGTGGGTATAGATGGGGCTGTGTTAATAGTCCAATGTCATTTATTTTTATTTATTTCAGTAATGATTATAGTTTACTGTGATTATAACGTATCAAGTATATTAATTCTGAACACAGTTACTAGATTCATTAACAAATATTGTACTCAGTTTTAACTGAGTTAAAGGGTATATTTAAGTTAGTCATTAATCAATCTAAGCTTATATGTCTACAAACTTCGTACAGAAAGTAAATAAATAAAGGTAAAGGTCACTACTGAAACTAAACTTCATGAGATACCCACACAGAGTTATGTACCAAAGAGGATACGTATTATTTCCGTGATATAATTTACCATAAAAAACGCCCAGTTCAAGACTTACTGCTGATAGGTCAAAACATATAGTATGTGAAAAAAGAAGCATCGAAATCGGTTCACACAGTCGAAAAATCTGAGTTTACAAAAAAATGCAGTCGAATTGATAACTTCCACTCTTTAATTTGGTTAAATATCATTATTACAATTTATTATTTAAAAAATTCAAATTAGGCAGTATGATTTTATTATAAAGTCATACTGTGTTTGGAAAAGAAGTAAAATTATACACATAGACGAAGATTAGCGTATATATATATATATATACACAACGTCACAACCTAGAGGACTACAATCGGACTGAGACCTCCGTGAGTTCGAATGTGGTCAACACGAAAAAATAGTGTGTCAATTTATATTACCGACGATCATTGGTGAAAGAAATATTGATAACAAACTAAATCCTAAAGATAGCGGTTCATCTCTTGTCAAGTTGTATTCAAATATGTAGTAGTAGGAGAATGTAGGTATATCTGGTAACATATGAGGAAAAATACTATTATCACGTTCACCACGACGTTGCGTCGACAGTTGACAATGCCTCTGGCCACACCATCTGGGACAACAGTCATGAAGGTATGTTATTATTATTATATTACAAAGATTAA